GCAGGAGGCGGGAACCCGCGCGCCGCGGGCAGCCCCCCTGGCGCAAGGGCCGCCACACGGGAAGGGGACGTGGGCGCTGGGGGTTTTCAGCCTCGGGACACCTTGCAGGGGTAGAAATGCCCCTGCTCCACCAGCTTAGCACACGGTGCTGCCCTGAGGTACCTCAGGATGCCTCACACCCTGAAGGACATGACGGTCCTCCCACCCACACAACGTGTTCCTCCAGCTTTAGCACACGGTGGTGCACTGAGGTACCTCAGGATGCCTCACACTCTGAAGGACATCAGGGTCCTCCCGCCAACACAACGTGTCCTTCCAGCTTCAGCATAAGGTGGTGCCCTCAGGTACCTCACGGTGCCTCACACCTTGAGTGATGGTCAAGGTGCTCACTCAATGTGTCCCTCCAGCGTGTTGCAACTCACACTCAATATCTCTTCACAAATTGTGTCCAAAGTGTCACAGTTAAAAAGGATAACAGCTAGGATAGTCTACACTAATCATCTCTCTTTTTCTTACACATAGAGCAATGTGAAAGCACCTCTCTTGTGGTAAATAACAACCTATAAAGCTTATTCTTGAACATCTGAAAGACAAAGATGTTTCTCCAGTAAAGCCTGTCCGTGCAGCAGAGAAGTGTCAGAATTTGTCCAGGTCACATTTGCTAGGAAAAAACACCACTGTGAGGCTGAATCCTTGGAGGCAGCTTTGTGAGAGCAGGAATTTATTTTGCCTGAGCTAACCGCAATCTAAAACTTGTGTTTTTAGTAGATCTCAATGTCTTCCTGGGCTTAAGAAGGTGAACAGCGAAAGAAGTAAACAAGCTGCCAGCTGGTAACGGGTAGAAGGGGCACCAGAGGGTCATTTCTCCTGACCTGCAGTGACACTTTGGATGTGAAGATAGCGCAGCAACTACGCAATGATCAGCAGCTATCAGCACACCCCGGCCTGGAAAACAGCTTTAAAAATGTGCCATGTCCGTGCTTGGCAGCCTCCTGCCGTGGCACGTAACCACCCCATGGCTCTGCATCCTCCTCGAATGATCGGAAAGGGCACCGAGTTACCGTTTCCTGTTGTTCCTCGTGTGAAGCTCTGCGCTGGTTACTCATCCTACTTAAATATGCTCTACGTGGCAAATCCAGGCCGTGCCAGACCGTCTCTGCTGATCTGAGCCACTCCCAGACCTTTAGTCACACTAGGTTTCACATTAGTCACCTTATATTCCGGGAGGAAAAGTCACGGAGGCAAAACTGGAGACTGCGAAGTGGAGCTGAACCTGCACTGTTTACAGCGTGGCTCCATCTGCCCTGAACGCGGATCTGGCCTGAGGCCGCTGCAGGTTTCACCAGTAGTCTGGCTTTTCTAAAATAGATTAACTGCCACAAGCTGAAAGCCAGAAACCTTCAAGCTTCAGTGACAAAATGAAGGAGGAATTACTATTTTCAGAAAGACAAGGACAGGAGGAAAAAAAAAAGTAAATCACTGTTTACTCTCTTATGATATTCAAAGTTCAGGCCCCTTGGCAGCTGACGTGTTTCAGTGTTAAAGTACAAAGGTAGTTTTCTGTGCCATCCCTGCCCTGCTTGTGTTAACAGTGACTCAGCTCTGCAGATCTGGCCCACAGCACAAGCTCGTAAGAGCAGTTGCACTGCTAAATCCCAGACGGCAGCTCCATTATTTGTGGGTTAAAGAGAAATTAGGAAGATGTTTTCCATCTAACAAGCAGGGAGCTGAAAGTGGTGGATAGCTAACACCCTACTTGAAAGAACTGGGGTAGTTAACACTGTACAATTTGTGCAGCAAAGTGTCAGTGCTTGGGTTCTAGCCTTAAACATTTTGAAGGGGAAGCATTCTGGGCAGTATCCTCAGCATCACACGATCCATGCTGGATCTGAAAAATATGAGGACAAAATACAGGCCACAAGTACCAGCGTGCAGGGAGGCCAATGCATGGAGTCTGCACAGAGTAGCTTTTGCTGTATTTTTTGTTCAATAGAGAACAACGTTCTATGGAAATATATATTCTCTATTAATAATGATTAAAAATATTCCAGGTCTTATTCCTTCTATCTTTCTGTTTTTCAAGGTACTTTTTTACTACCCTGCTGAAAAACCTCACTGCAGACACGACATGCTAAATGGGCTCAGACGCAGGGACCAAGAACAAAGAGGCTTCCTTCGCTGCACTGCAGTTTGGATCAGATCCAAAAGACTCACAGGAGATAAACAGACTGAGAAGATGCAGACAAGTAATTTTTAGAATAGTTATTTATTGTAGTTTTCATTGGCATGACATGCAGAAACAAACCCGTGTTTTTAGGTAAATGGTGTCTTTAGAAAATGGGTTTTACGTTTCCTTAAATCAGACCCTATAGAACTGCTAAATGTTGTTTTCTAAACACTTTAAAGCTAAAGGAGATAAACACTGTATGTTTGATTTCTACAAATCTAGTTGTAAGCACAGGGTTTTTTTAAAGGAAAGGAATACAGAGAAGATGATTTCACATGTGTTTTGAAAAAACAGCAGTCCCAGCTTCTCTAGCAAAAGCCTAAATAGTCACTGGTTTTCCTATTCTCCTTCTGCTGATCTGATTTCTCATTACAATTTTTTAGCCATTCTTGAACGTAATCTGTGCAGATATTTTAAAATATCCCACACTTGGAAAATTTGTCCTAGCAAAGATACAAGTCCGGGCATAATTAGTCACACAGCTACTTTTTTTTTTTTTTTTTTTTCCTCCTCTGGGTCATCTGCTCAGAGCAACGTGCCCAAGCATGTTTATAATGGCAGATCTTAAACCAAAGCTGTATCCCATGTGTACTGAAAAGCCAAACTATGCTTTAAAATAACAGGGAGATAAATGATTATTGCCTAGTCTTCTAAATTTAATACAAATCTGCGTATCTATTTGTTTTTCTTAAGTCTTCAGCTCTTGAAGCTAGCAGCTTATTAAAAACTTTGTTAGTTTAAGGTATTTTTAGCATTAGACTTAAAAGAAACAGAAGAACTCAGAGCATTGACTTTTTTTGGTAAGCTCATGATATAAAAAAAAAACAATCTCATGGTACTTCAAACGTGACTCATATTTTTGTAACCCTTGAGGCTGGCAGCACAAGGACGAGCAGTAACACGCCACAGCTCTGTCTTGTGGCTGGAGCTCCAGCAAAGCCCGGGCCTCACTGCAGCATCTGGGGAGAAGAGTCCATGTTAAAAATATCATCTTTACAATTGCAAATAGGTAAACATATTATCATGTGTCACACTCAGTGAGAGAGACATAAGGCAGGTATGAGCAATATTTTGATAGGAATATGCATTGTTTTTCCCTTTGGGGAGTCGTCCTGCTACAATCCGAGGAAAAGAACTGAACTTGCTACACATATTCAAATCCTCTGACTGACTGCTTGTTCCAAGTTAAACCCTTGTAGCTAAAGATAAATAGATTGCTTCATTTGACATTGCCCATGCAGAAATCATATGCTGTTGCTAAGATATTAGCATACACATAAACCAACAGTTTGTGTTCCAGGGTGTACAAGTTTATTGGAAACATTTCTTGTGACCCCGGCTCCTTCTCCTCTGAAAGTAGGTTGCTCTGTACTACTGCCCAATGACCTAATTTTGGAAACCCTCAGCAAGGAATACCGGTTCCCAGCTGCAGGCCCCATGCCCTGGCAAACGCTGGAACCACCTGTGCGGTCAGACTGGTCACACGATCCAGATTTCTGTTTTTCAGCTTTGCATTTATTTATACGCAGTTCACAGTCAGCTGCTTGATCGTTATTATGCACCTAGAACTACTGGAGGAAGGAAAATATGTATGTTAAATACATATGTTTTGTAGAATCACAACAGTTGCCACAGCACTGAAGGACAACCAGATAGATCTCCTTTGTCTGTATCGAATTCAGACAGAATATTTTCTGAAGAAATTCTGAGGTAAATGTCAAATTCTGCCATGGATGAAATCACAGGCCCTTCACTTCCAGCTTAGGAGATTGTTCTGTACAGGCAGCGTAGGAAAATGAGGTAGAACCCAGCCCATAAACAGTCTTTTGACTTTTAGAAAATACCTTTCAGCTTTATAATAAGCATATGAGTTTACCATACAGAAAAAAACAAGAAGGAGGAAAAGGGGTGTTTGAGTTAAGAAGCAAACAAAAGTGCTTTGCTCCATACAGGCACGTAGATAGTCGTTGCAGATTAATAGTTAGGGGAATTAAATGAATCCAATCAGTGGAGATTGCAAAATGCTAATGACAGCCTGTGTAGTGTCATTTGCAGGCTATGGAGATTAGTTTATGTCTGCCAGACCCTAGAGTTGTGTTCCTACAGTCTATTTCTTTGTTTAGCAATTTTGACAGTATGATAACTAAGGAAAATAATGGGTCTTTTTTGCACGGACTTGACAAATGGAGTCCATAATTATTTTAAAAATTGACTCTACATTAAATGTGAGCAGGCTGGCCAGGAGGAAAACATTTAGCATCTTTGGCACTAGGCAAACAAAATGAACCCATTAGAAACACCAAGCCAAACTAGCAGCTAACAAAAACAAATGCAATACTGCTTATATCTACAGTTTGGCCTAAATTGATGTAGCCAAATAATATTCTGGAGGTTGGTTATTGTCATGGAATTGCCTCCAAATTTTTCTAGTTGGCTCTTCCTATTTCTACATTGTGAACAATTATTGTTTGGGATCCTTTTTTCTTCTTTTTCCTTTTTACTGTGAACTAAGCAGCCTTCAGGGATGCAAGCCTGATTAGGCGAAACAAAGCAACTATTTTTAAACAAAGGAAACACATGCAATGGGTAACTTGGTGTTCAACCCTGCTGTTCACCTTTCTGCTGTGGGAGCAGAGGATTCACCCTCAAGTACATTTGGGTTCACTGAAGGAACTTGCACCAACTTAAGCAGTAAACCCCTTTTGCATTTGGCATGCTTCAGATATAGCATTATATAAAACAAGTAAAAAGCCAGTCAGTATAATGATGTTTAATTAGCATGAAAAACATTTCTATCGCTGCTCCCAGGAGGAAGCTGTTCCCAATCAAAGCTTCCTGCTCAGGAGACAAGTAAACAGCCCTTTGAATCTCACGTGTCAGCATTTCACCAGAGCTTGTTTTGCAGCCCGGCGCAACCAGATTAAGCCGCCAGGCTGCGAGAAGCGGTTCAAAGGGCAGCTCAGGAAATGGCCCGCGTGACTGGAGGCTCACTCAGCCTGCACCCAGGCTGACGCGTTTCTGAGTAATATCATTTCCCAG